GGGGGGGTTGGGTGGGGGGCTAATGACGTTGGTTTGGATGTGCTTCGAAGGTGATGTCACAGGCACACACGCTATCGCGTGATGTGGAGATCACCAGTTGCAAGTTTCAGAAGGCAAGTTGCAGAATCTGACTTTCCAGTTTCAGAATACCAGTTGCAGAATCTGACGTTCCAGTTTCAGAATACAAGTTTCAGAATCCCAGTTTCAGAATCCTAGTTTCAGAACCCCAGTTTCAGAATCCTAGTTTCAGAACCCCAGTTTCAGAATACCAGTTTCAGAATCCAAGTTTCAGAACCCTAGTTTCAGAACCCCAGTTTCAGAACCCTAGTTTCAGAATCCGACCGATTAGTTTCCGAATCCGGCTCTAACCGAAAAACACACACATACAATTCACTCTGTGTGAACACCCTCATATGCGTACATAGTTCCTTGCATGAACCATTTCTGGGTGACTGGGAGACCTCATCTCTCCGGCACTCCGTGCTGTGCAGTGTACTGCTGGACGCACATCCCTGGGAACTGAAGAGCCCCGGTGCATGAAAGAGCCCTTTCTTTTTTTTACGGGTTCTTTACGGACAACTGACAAGGCTGTGAGCCAAAACCTCCTCCACCAAAACCATGGGAAGGTTCATATCCTAATGGCATCTATTCAATTTCGGTGGTCAACCGGTTACCTGTTTGCCAGCCTCGTGAGGATCGGGTTCCCACCAAAATCGCCCATTGTCCATATCATTCCCGAAGTTGAAACTTCACCTGTTGCCAAGCGCAGCCTACGTCAAAAGGCCGTTATCTTCAAAATTTATTGTTGCCACAAGTCCGATTTTATCCTAAATTCGCTTCAAAAAACACTATCTTCCTGGACAAAATTTTTTTTTGGGAGGAGAGCGCAAACAGCACACCCCTGGCCTGGCCGCCATCGCCCGCCGCAACGAGTTGTTGTTGATCCTGACACTGAAGAAAGTCTACAACGCACTCTGATCGATCATGCTCCTCCAGTCCATCCTGACGTGATACCAGAACAATGGCCGCCATGGCCGCCATGGTTCAGTCCGACTCAAAAAGGATGCCGACTGAGCCGTATGACATGACGAAAGAAATCGACGGCGCCGGCTCAGGGACGCTCAACAAATGCCCACAAATACTGTATCTCGATGATGATACACGAGTTCCCAATTGAGTTATCTCATGGTGATGTCGAATTATATAAGTGCTTAATAGTGCTTAATTTGTTCCAGGTGACTTTTGATTCTCGTTGGTGGTGGTTGGCTTTGGGGTCCTTTTTCGGTGTGGGGATCCAGTGGAATCTTGTGCATGTTCTACGCATCTTCATCATGCTAAAAACCCTGGTACTCCTGAAAGGGAATGGCTGACTGGTGCCGGATACGTTGCCCAAGTATCAATCTGTGGTCAACCATGGTGTTTTGACCCACCGCCATATATAAGTACCTGGACCGGACCTTGTTTTTGACGGTTTGGGTTTCTAGTGTATACTCCAGCCAAGCGCAGACAGGTATATAAACGATTATAAAGGAATGGACGCTTGCACTGGAGCCAAATTCAATCATCGCTTTGCAATCCATGTTCCTGTTTTTGCATCTGCACATTTGTTGTTCTTTGGTTGCTCAATGAACATGAAGAGCCTTTGAATGCACCAAGTGTGCTTTGTTAAAAAAAAGATAAATATCACGAGGGCAAAGTAAGAAGCTCGTGTTCATGAAGCCGGTTCAGTCGGTGAAGCCTTGTTTTCAATGGTGCTGTGTGGAGACAAGGGCCAAGCAGGTACAGGTACAGTGGTCCCCAAGACATAAGCAACGAGAGACTGTCAAGTCAGACAGGAATGCTGACAGTCACTTTCACAGCAGATTTTGGAAAATCAAGCGGAGTACGATTGTTAGAGGAGAATGCGCATCTTGGGGTTAGAATTTCAACCACTTCGACCTCCCAAAGCCACTTCGGATTGGCCAAGGCCTTGGGTGAGACCAGCAACTTCGTGAAGCCCACGGTGATCTTGACGCTCGTCGGATGCGCTCTTGGGTATCGAACGAACCCATGGGGGGAAAACAACTCCACATATATTAAGTGCCCAAGGCTCTCATAGCAATTTGCAATGGTCCGGAGTCCGGGGTTGGAAGATCATGTTTCTTTGTTCCAGTTGCTTTGCTAATTGATGTCAATTCGGTAAGTTCATCCGCGACCCAGAGGAATGCGAACTGAAAGGGGTGCCCACCCAAGATGTACCGATCGGCGTCGCAGCCAATGCGGGTTCTGTCTTATCATGTCTTATCCAAACTGCGTTGAAACGGACCGTAGATGGCCCAGCTTGTCTGTATGGTCGTTCCCAAACAAGGTTGAAAGAGTTCTCCTGCACCGGACTTTGATTCTTCGCCATCTCTTTCCAACCCTCTTCCAAGTGCTTTGTCCATGCTTCCCCCTTTATCCCCTTCCCAAATCGCTCCACTAAGCCGCTGTCACCCCGCGACTCTCTGCATCGCGGCGATCCTATGCTCGTCACGAGGCGTGGGCCAACGGTCTGGGGCCAATGTGGAGATCTTCACCTGGACGGGTCCTTCTCCTTGGGCTCCACTGGACGGCGCGGCCATTCCCAACGCGTCTCTCCCCGGTCGGTGAGGATGCGATCTCTCCCCGGTTGGTGGGTGGGTTGCTCTCGCGGAAAGGGGTTCGAGACTGAGGGAAGGCCGTGGGAGAGGAGCTGTGCCTGGGCATGAGCTGTGCCTGGGCGCACACTGGTACACTGGGAATTCGGGGTTCAAGCGGCTTGTGATTCATCTGGGTTTGTTGCGGTTGTGCGGAGATCTCAGAGGGTACAGCTGGGAGCAACATGAGCCAGTTGTGCGCTGCCAAGAACCCTGAAACATCAGAAAGGACCTTACGAGAGGTGTAAGGCCCGTGGTCCATGTCCACTCGCATAATATAGATAGATAATAATCCCTAGGGCTCCAAGGACCTTCTAAGAAGGTGGGACTGGGGTGGGTTTAGAGATATAGTATATAATCTGAAGAATTGAAATTCCCAATTCATAGGAACTCCATTGTGTTGTAGAACAGAATCCGAAAGGTTCCAGTCGGAGCTCGGTTGCGCCACCAACGACCCAGATCGGAGGGGTCCCTCAGTCGGAGCGCTCCGGAGGCCATGGAAGCTGATCCGCTGGCGTTGCACCGGCGATGGCTCCAGCTGCGCTAAGGCGGCACCGGTCGGGCGCAGAGGGTGGACCAACGGGGGGTTGATTCCGTTTTGAAGCAAAGGAGCGTTGAACCATGTTGAACCGGTTTTGAGATGTGTTTAGATCAACACCTGTTCACCTCAAGACGCTCCAACAATGGTTCCTTTTTCTTTCAGGGGTGTAGTGAACCGGTTTGGAGATGTTTTTCGATGAAACATTGACCACTTTGTGGTCGAAAGAGCTCCATCCCCTTGTAATTTGCTCCAGCGCCTCCAGCGCCTTGGAGTTCGCTCCTTGCGCACAGATCGTGGGCTACTTGCCCAACAGCTGTGACCAGCAGACGCTGGGGCCTTGGGCCGGCGGTGGGAGCAGTGGGGTCATACGTCCAATCCTGTGCGAATGTGGAGAGCTTGGGAGATCCACATGAGAGAAAGCAATTGCAAGCTGCGTTCAGGTACCTAAGAACCCTCCAAATTCACCCCATCTCACCCCACATTGTGGAAGGTGCCCTTTGCAACCGCCATTGAGAGGACGAAGCAACCATCCCAGACTCACCCACATGGGAGATGGAGGGAGATGGTGTTTGCATGAAATGCAAACCTGACTCTTTGGTATATTGGACTCTATCCCAGACTCAGTGACCCCACATTCAGAGACAGCCAGGATGGTGCCTGAATCAGGGTTGCAGCTCTTTGGTGAACTCGGTGCCCTTTCAGCATTGCAGCTCTTTGGTGAACTTGACCATCCCAGATCCTTCTCCGGGACCAGGCTCAAGATTGAAAGACTCATAGCTGTCGTACAGACTCTTACTGTCACGAAGAAGCACGAATCCCATTCAGCTTGTTTGTGAAAGCAGCCCGCTTCCGTTTCGCGGCGTCGCGCTCAGCCGCTACACGCTAAGCCTTCAGACTTGGGGTATATTTGATGGAAAATGGTTCTTGATATTCACTAGGCAGGATTGATGGCCCACCCGGAAGGGCACCAATCTGAGACGAACGTGAACCAATCGGGCAGGATTGGTACCGTCGCTCCGTCGCCGGTCCCACCGGGCCGTTCGGTGCACTCGTCACACGCAGGTCACTCACGGAATCCCCGGAGTCCCCCAGAAACTGTTCAGGTTTGACCGAAACTGTTCTCGGTCGCTGAGTGCTGCACTGGTCTAACATCGCAAAAGCCAATGAGTTCTGTATCGAACCAATCATACCCAAACGCTCCCCCCCACGCGAAATCCGCCGGGAAGACACGGCCTCCGATGCGCTTGGCGCATTGCATCGGGCCTCACGAGAAAGCTGCGAGGCTGTCGGCCCCCAGGCTGCGAGGCTCTTGAGGCCCCTGGACTGCGAGGTTTGAACCTTCGGATGATGTGTGCACCTGATGATTGATGCATCTCTTTTGACACATAGACTTCCAAGACCCGGTGAGATTGTTCAGCGGTTTGCTCACCCGAACGCAAGGGTACCCAAATGGTGCCCAATATCGGTTCTAACAACAGGATAAGACCTGAATACCTGGGGAAACCGCAGGTTGATAGGTACATTCCCCTGAAAAAGACATCGCACAATTATTGAGAAAATGCATCCAGACCACCAAAACACTGGTGTTGACTGTTGATCATTTGTCAAACCGGACCTGCAAGGTCAAACTCAAACCGAACCTGCCAGTCCCACACCTGGTGCCAGACGACCCTTGAGGGTGACCCTCGCACCTCCTAGGCCGCTGGAGACCACTGGCTTGGCCGTGGGACCGGTGCCCTGTGGCCTCCGTGCGACGATCCCCGAGGCGAACGGCGAACGGCGGAAGCGGCGCGGCTGCAGCCGCCGTTCTCTCCGTAACCGGAGAGGTCCATGTTGAGCTACGCAGATACTTCGTGCACCTTGTTACTGTAGCTTCTTGCCCCTTTGATCCCCTTTGCAATGATGTGGAGGGAGAGAGAGGAACGACATGAGCTTGTTTGTTGGTCGGACCAACAACAACAACCACGACGATACCGGTTGTTGCTCCTCTGCCTTACAGCGTCTGTCTAGGCGTTGGCGGCACACTGTTCACTGTGGGTTCCCGAAAATCCTCTCGACAGATAAAGGGCAACGACCTGATCGCATGCTAGATGAATTTGTGCGGCGACCAAAACCGTGCGAGACCTACCCACAGTCAGTCCAACAGAGGTGGGTGAGAACCCGACTGTTCGACTATCCCACTTGGGCACCCCAGTAATTATAGGGTGATCGTTACGGTCACTGAACATCTCTTGGGTGGATAACCTCAAAAACTTTTTTGAGGGAGTTTCCCGCTCGAACCAACTGGTGAAAGGATGAAAAACGTACACCTTCCGAATGAATCCGGTCCAAATGTATTTTGAATTGTTGCGAACTTTGCAAAAGAACTAGTGGAGACTTGCCTGGGATCTTCCAAAATCTTATACAAGTCCCGTCTGAATGGCACGAACGGCGCTCGACAGCACCGTGCGAACGGCGCAGTGCGTGCTGCGCCGCAGGCGGTGGCCAGCGATTTGACCATCTCCCTAGCGACCCTGGAGGTGGATGGTTGGGAGGAGGGCGATGGTCAGACGCGTGGATGGAGGGCCACGAGTCGTTTTAGTGGTTTTCTTTTAATATTGCTATATTATGTCACTTCTGGACCTAAATTTATAACCATGGTATGATGCAAGCTGTTGGACTTGTACGGTCTTCATCTCCAGATCCACAGTCTTCCACTTTCTCAGGTAACCAAGAGGCCGACCTCGGAGTCTTCGAAACTGGGACGACTCCTCCCGTGCTCGAAACCCGACGAGGGCGCTGGATGGACTACCTGTACAGGGAGGATTTCAACAGAACACAGAGGTTCAAGTTCCAGATGCAAGTGACTGTGGAGCGTACAAATAGCAAAAGTAGCAAGATCAAGGTTATTGTATAATGTGTGTATCATGGACGTATGCCAATGTAGGTGAGGGTCGCCGCTGGCCACACTGGCTATCCTTTTCAGGAACTATTTTGTGGCTGTCCCACTTGCATCCATGCATAGAAAGTTCCTGAACACCAAAATGAATCAGCCGAAACAAGCATAGAGGTGAAAGTTCTATGGATTTACAGAGAAGATGGACGATGGATTACAGAGTAACAAGGCAGGAGACAAAAGACTGTTATTGTTTGTTTCAAGTTGCAGAGCTTCCTTGCCTACCTGTTTTTGGAGGCCGAGAAGCTCCGGTTAGTACCACACCACCTTGGATTGGGCTAGGGCTAAGAAAGTAATGTATTACTTCTGATGTTGGTATCCCATAATATCGCATATATATGACACCACGACCCCCCCGACCACCGACGACCCCTCGACTGCGGTCGACTGCACTGGCCTCGGTGGGAGATCCACTTGAAGCTGGAGAATGCGATGGGTCTATGGGACGAGGCGCAGCGGGTCAGCGGAGCCTGCGGCGGTGCAGGCCGTAGCCGTCCGGGGTCGAGCCGTCCTGGGTCCCTTCGTTTTGGGAGAAACCAAGAGCCTCGCATTGAAGGACCAAGTTCAATGAAACACGCATGCCAGGTCGGTTGGATGGTCAAGACCTAGGGCGATCCGAGTACTCTATATGTATATATGGCCTTTGGAACCGCTCGTCACATCGACTTTAAAGGCATGAACTAGCTCATAGCTCTCTCAAAACGGATGTGAGCTCAAAACACTGTACACGATAGATGTGATTGGAGTGATTTTCAGTTCCACATCCGGGCCAACCCGGAATGACCCGAATGTCAGAGACCTCTTGAATCCTTTGGAGTGCCTTGGAGCAGAAACTGTCCCAATGGCGGTGCTTGTTGGGATGTGTTTGCCCCTGCTCCGACGTTGACGTCTGCTCCAAAACCGACCCTGTTTCCGTCAAGAGGTGCAACGTCCCTTGGTACCAACGGGCCAGAGGTCAGTCGCAAAAAGACATAACTGGAATTGACGCTCGGTAAACTTGTTTGGGAACGACGGGGAGACGAGACGAGAGGCGTTGGCCTGCCGTTTGTGTCGCCGAGAGATGACAGCTGAACCAGCAAGAGCTGGTGGCCATGTGGTGGCCATTTGATGATTTGAATGTCAAAAAAATCGAGATCCAGAGGAGATGATCAGAATTAGATAAAACTATATATTACCGAAAATCCAATGGCCACGTGGTGCTTCATGTTTGGTGCACCACATGGGGTCACGGGAGACACCAGGAACGGGAGACGGAGGAGACGACACCGGTCACTTCGATCCCAGGAGTTGAACGGAGTCGAACGGACGGTCGTCCTTTGAAAAGGTCCCCCTGCAATCGTGACATGGTCAAATCAGATGTCCTCCCACAAATGACATCTGATAGCGGCCTCCATCCAAAATGATTTGACCATGTCACATCAGATGTCAAATCAGATAGCGGCGGCCTCCATCCAAATGACCATCAAGAAGGGCCCAGACAGACCACCGTCCGGCCCGGCCCTCGCCCTTCGCATCCCTGTAGGCCGTCCATCGTATCCGCTTCACCGTGGATCGGGTCCCTATGGTTTCGGCGCTCAGCCGGGCGAAGGGGGGGCCCCTCACACTGGCAGAGGGCTTGTTGGCTGAAGCAAGGTTGTGAGGTCTTGATTCATAGACCCCCCCAACAGATGTTGCAAAAACAAGCGAAAACAGCATGGGGGGGTACGGTACGTGTGTTTTGTGTTGTTTTAAATGTGTTTTTGAATTGCTTTCTAGTGTAAGTTCTGTGTGGTGGCCGAAAAAGAAGACCCGCATGGTTCAGACCCATCCTCGGATGGAGGTAGGCTTCGAGCGACCAAGATGTTCAACACCTTGAGAAGGGAGGCTTCGTTCCTTCACCAAAAAAACAAACTCGAGACGGGGTGATCCAGTGATCCATATGCCATATGCCTAAATGAGTTCAATATGTGGCCCTGAAATCCTTGGTTTTGGGCGGACGTTGTGTTTTGAGGTTGCCATTTGAAAGGACAGCTAAAATTAAGGGGTGAAACATGGTGAAACACTATTATACAATTATGACCCAAAGCTGGAGATTGGGTTGTCTTGGTTGTTTAAAGAGTATTTTACTGGTGAGCATGTCCAAGTCAGTGAGCTGGTCCAAGTCAGGGAGCTGGTCCAAGTGCTGGTGTCGCTGGTGTCGCTGCTTTGGCTCTGGCGCTTCGTCTTCCTTGCAGGTAGCCACAAGTGGCGCTTCGTCGAGTGGATTGAACAGGAATTTCCCGTGGATCCCAACTCCAGAGGGTCTTGTATGGCGAACATCGGTTGAGAGGTCAGAGACCACGCAAACAGCAGCCATGTGCACCCGCGCCCAGGGAAGGTGGCGCAACAGGACGAGGCGCAACGGGACGATGAATGGTGACCCATTTCAGTCGGATTCACTGGCAAACGTCTGCAATGACTCCGAATCTACATGCAGCATGCAGGCCCGCATGAGGTCAACCAATGCAGGCAACTGGTGGATGAAACCATCCAGTGTGGTTTCCCAAGCCGACCAGACTTGCTGCATGCTGCTGCGCCATTGGCACAAACGTGCCAAACATGTAGCGAGGACAGAGCCCGCATGGTTTGCAGGTTTTGGGGCGCTGATGTACACTTCGGTTGGAAACCTTTCGAAGCCGTTCGCGCGGTAAACGTCTGAAATTGGCAGGTCAAGGCGTGCGCGCTGGTATGCACGTAAGAACGGATGAGACAGCTTGAATATGACGTAGATTCATAAAAGCTTCAAAAAGAACATACTGAGCAGGTATGTTGGCATCACACCACCAGGCTCTTCATTGGCCACTCCCTGGTGGTGGGTGGAGTGGCCCCCTGCTCTGAGCAGAAACCCTTAGAAACAGGGCGTGACACACACACACACACACACACTTTGAAGATGAAGTGCGCTCTCTCTCTCTCTCTCTCCCTGTGGAGCAGATTCAGTGAACTGCTGAAGTGCACTTGCTCCTTCTAAGCTATGTTGAATTCTATTACCTGAACTGCAGTGAAACGGAAAGACGACCTGTGACCTGAGAAGCAAATTTGCGAAGTGACCACAAGAACACAAACTTGTTTCTGCATCACCAATATTTTCCCAGAACAGGGTAACGGTCTTTGATCCTCCTGCGGTATAACGTACGGCGGCGTGTAAAAGCGCCTGCAGTAATATACCTCAGAACACACACATGCACACTACGGCAAGTAATAGTTGAAGTAAGCCGCGTTCGGCTGAACCAAGCCCAAGGCGACCCAAGCAACATTTGCGGATATTTTTTTCAGCATTTGTTGGCTGGTTCCTTGAATCTCCATCAGCTTCCCACTGTGACGGTCGTAAAAGGTTAGCCCCGCAGATTCCCTCGAACAGCGGTGCTTGTTATATTCTGTTTGGACCTTAGGAGGCGCCAAATTCCTGGGGTGCCACAAGCTTAAGGAAGTCCTTGTGCAAGCCATTTCACAAACTTTACTATAGATGCTTGCAATCACAAAGAACCTTGCTAAACGGATTGCCTGAACCATTGCCAGATTAGATCTGCTATGATCTATATACTTGCCCGTGGGAGAGCGGGGTTGATACAATGATAAAAGAAACGCATACAACTCAATTGTTGCTTTAACAAAGGTCTCCCAGTTTCAAAGGAAGATCTTTACCCGAGGCTGTAGCCCTCAGCGATCCAGCCATGACCGTGGATGAGGGCAGCAGCGTCAGGCGAGCTGTTGGATGTGGAACATGTATGATTTTTGTTAAGGTTAAAATCTAACATGTTGATCTTCGTACAACACATAATATCAATTCTGCTTAGTTGGGCAACAGACGAGGGCTAAGTAGGGAAAGTAGATGAGCTCGCCCAGAAAAAAACGTTGGGTGTCGCTCCGATCCCATCTGTTTGGTGTCGAACACCGAGCAGGAAGCTCGGGTTCACACCTTCACAGGAAAACGGGCTGCGGCTCCTCCCCAGAAAAACCACGGTTCTGTGCCATGGAATCATTGGGAGCCCCGGTGGGAGCCTGGTTGACCCCTGGTGGGAGCTTGGTTGTGCTGGTTGGACGGTGGGAGCCTGGTTCGTCAGTTGCAGTTCAACACCGAAACCGTGCAGGAGTTGCTAGAGAGTGTTCATCCAGGAGCGGTCCGAAAACCGTCCTCTCTACAAACTTGACATATCTTGGAGCCCCTTTTTAGTCCTTGATCAACTCTCGCAGCCACTGCCAGACCATGTTTTGTTGGCTTTCAGATAGTCTATCTATGTCTATCTCAGATCCTTCTGACCATTCTTCTTCATCTGCCCACGCGCCCCACCAGAAAGTTCCCATGTTTCTCCTACCAGGCTTGAGCTCTCGGTGGGCCCGGCGCTGCCGGTGTGGACGCCCAGAGCCGTGTCGGACTCGATAGGAGTTGGGTCTCCTGGGATGGGATATGGGATGTCTTGATGGAAGGGCGTAGGTTGCAAGGAGCAATGTAGACTTATAGTTAACCAGCACCACCATCCTGTCGGGGTGTCCTGGACAGCCAGGACACCCACACTACGCTTCCAGACAGGGTACCCCGTGGATTGGTCCAGGCAGTTAGCATAACCTCTAATGGTTTTGCCAAATAGTCAAAAACGCGTCAGACATGGATGATACAAACTCTTCAATATGGGAGTTCTAGAGTCCACATTCCGTGGGGGTCCCGGAACAACGAAACTTTGACTTCCAAATTTCCCAAGGCATTTAGAAGAGGGGATTGACATTCTCTGGAATACTACGATCTATGTCATGAATCACTCTCATCCATTTGAACGTGACCAGGGCCCTGGTGTGATGGTTGAAGCGGGCGAGTCAGAGAATTCAGTTTGAGGGATGTTTTGTTTGAACTTCTTGACGTTTAATCGAACAGATCTGACGTGAAAGGGACCCCGAAAAAAAGGAACCCCTTCCAGGGGGTTCGAGCATGTCATGAATTGTTTGGTTCATCCTAAACTTTTCATCTTAGGGCGTTGACCTTTGACCCACCAATCCAACTCCTGCACCGTTCAAACCTTGGTCGATTGAAGGTGACTTTGGAAAACGATGAAAACGAGTGCTTGGAGGTTTTTCCCAGGTATGAACAGGGTGATGGACTGGATGAGGTATACTCCCTGATGTCAGGTGGTGTTCGGGTGCTTGGTATACTGAAGTTGTTTCTTCGTTTTCCGAGGTGGCGTCTTTAGGTGCTGGATCTTCGTTCCTTGGCGTACTGGAGCAGAACGGAATCGGCGTACTGGATTGATGTGTGAGAAACTGAAGGTCCAGACGTTTGGCGGTTCCTGCGTTCTGGTATTACAAGCGTTTACTGTACTAATTAATGGGATTTGCTACGAAACCACTACAGCTGACTGAAAGCTTCAGCAGGGAATCTAAACTGGCAAGTGTTAAAAGGCCAAAATAGCTGGACATGACAAGTGTCAAATGTGTCAACACTAAGTGTCCCAATTCAGGCCATTGAAATCAACCAAACAAAGATGTCAAAGACATTTGTAGTCGAAGCACTTTCCATACTTTCTGATCGATTGGGGGTTCACTGCAAGAATCTGATCTGGGAGGAGTTGTGCGGAGGAGGACCTCCTACCCCAGGTGAGCACCTTCAAGAACGAATAGCAAATCGACCCTGCTTCCCGGTAAAGAATTGCAAATCTTGAGTATGCTGGACGTCAACACCTCCACTTTCAACATGATGTCTTCCAGTCGACATGAGATCAGAATTGTGCTTTATAAGGGGGTCCGGGATGATCGCAAAAACACCTGGTTCTATGTTGTTGAACATGGAGAAGGCCAAAAGATGCAAGTGAACAGCTGGCCCTCAATGGGTGATGAACAAAGAAAAGGTTCTGAATGGTGTCTTCTGGATTGGGCCTGATTTGAGGTCAATTAGTATCTACCATCATCTACCCTTATCAAGGGTTTCCCAGTGGGTTTCTTTTTTTTCACACCTTGAGGTAGTGGGCAGTGGGGTGATTTGCCCAGAGCCCCATGAAATTTGGGTGATGGGAGCACTAGGATCACCTTAATGGGAAACCAACCTTCGACAGCGGGTTTCTCAGAAATCTCGGCAGCCAACCTGAACTAGCTATGACTTGATGATTCAATATCAAAAGATAGTTAGAGAGAGCATGTCGAAACACCCAAAACTCCCCCCCAGGCGTCTCGGAGGTGGAAAAATGCATAGCCCAGTCGCAGTCTTGTAGTTGTGCCCTTGTAGTCGTGTAGTACTGGAGGTAAACACACTTCTACGAAAAAGTGGTCATGCTTCACTGCCTCGCTTCTAGCTTGGTGGGTTTGTACCTGTGCTCAGACAACAGACAACATGCATGTAGATACGCAGTATAAGTTATCACTTTGGGGCATTGAAAAACCCTTAATATGCAAACGGCAAACGGTGTTCTGTTGCATTGCCTTGTGTGGTGTTCTCGTTCAGTTTGACGTTCCGTGGACGGAGCTTGCACGAGGTTTCTTTTAAGACGTCTGGGCGAAGACGTCTGGACTTCCATCCCCGTTTACAACTCTTCCACGCCCAGAGGTCGCTTGCAGAAGTTCATCAGAAAACCATCAGTTTTGTTCATGGACGTTGGATGGATGGCTTGAAGATGCTTGAAGTCTTGATAGAAGTCTCATGTTTCTTGGCAAACTTCAATGCTTTCCACACCCGGTCAGTGAAAGCCACCAACCATCAACCACCGGCGCTTCCACCGGTGTTAGCTCGCTCGCTCCGCTCGGAGGTGTGGAGCTTTGGGTCCCGTGTCCTTGGAGTGGCGCTACAGCTCCTTGGCGCTACAGCAACGGCCGGTGCTTTGTATGCACAAATAAAGGCGACAGTTGACGGGTGAGCATCCTTCTTTGGTGGCGGGTGAGTTGCTGCCATGCAAGTTCCTTGCCTTGTTCTCTACTTCTGCAAAGTGTTGTGACTTTAGATACAAGACAGTTGCTTTAGCATTGACATGAATTGAGTAATAAAAACTCTATTCTGATTTCAGTTGAGGAAAATCATCTATCATATGACTCATATCCAATTGACATACCTGGACAACTTGTTTATCCTTTGTTTTCTTTTTTTAGAGGACTGCGAACGCGTCAGCTTCACATTTGGAACCGTTTGACCTGTAACGTAAGAATGCAGCTATAAAAGGGGCACACACACAACATACAACATACATGAGCAGATGTTGTGTACATGAAAGCCACCGCTTGGAACCGCTGTGATTTGAAGCTAGGATAATGATTTTAGAACGGGTTGTTTTCTTCAGTTCACATGCTTTCCTGACCGATGACGGGGCCGGATGATGGCGTAGTCCGCCTAGGCTATGGAAGCTTGCTGGATCCCAGCCAGGCCTCGGTGCCGTCCGGGCAGCACGGTTGCTTTGAAGCAAGCAAGATGTTAGCCAAGTACAACTATGTCTATGTTTGATCGATTTCCTATTAGTCTTCATATGTCTTCATCTTCAAAGTGGTGTCATGTGGTAAGTTCCTTTCATGGTCCTTTGATCAACACACCCAAACCGGTCCAACCTGCCCAGAACAACACACTCCTGAAGAAAATGGGCACCCTTCTGCCACGCCAGGCGTGGCCCAGCCTGACGAACACTCCGCCCTCGCTCATCGCTTCGTTGGATGCCAAGACCGCTGCCTTAGAGGCGGGGAACAGGTTCCCCCTGCAGCTGGCGAAGCTGAGTGGCGCTCCAATGGCGATATGGAACATGGTTCAGCGCCGCATGGATCCCTTTGGCAATTCCTGGATGTCTATGGCCCGTCGGATGGTACATCTTCGCAACCCCTGAAAGAGTTACTCAAAGGCATATAATAGAGTGAACCCATTGAATTGAATTACTGTAAAACATTTAATGGCATACCCGATGTTACATCGAAAAAGAAGCCCGGTCACAGCACCGGCCTTCTCGAAGGCCTTCTCTCTTCTCGGGCCGCGCATCACGGGTGCTGCCGACTGCCAGGGGACGTTGGGTGATTTGGACGTCCCCGGGAGCAACTGGACCCTCGTGGCACGTGACTCGGAGGAGAAGAAGCGGCGTTGTCCTCGGAAATTCGTTTCGTGGGCGAGCCGGAAAAACCGTCGGGTCACCCGAGTCTCCCAGAAAATGGGATCAACTGAAAGACCTCTACGAGCAGAAGCCACCCTGGGTGGCAAGTGAGGCTCCTTCAAAGTCTTTTGGTATCCACAACGCTCCATGGGACTGGAATAGTTGCCTACATAGGGGCCTTCTTCAATCAACCCCAAGTGAATCCGAATCTCAGTGTATATCCTGAAAAAAACTGCACTTCAGGGTGGACCCCAGTAATGAACCAGGTAGAACATCACCATATCTGGTCTGGTTGCATTCTCAGGGGACATCAACTCTTACGGTAACTGCACATCGCGGCGCCTTGCGGGGGGGAGGCGGATTGGGACCACAAGTCCGATGTAGGGGATGACATATCATATATTTATACGCAAGCTTCACCATAAGCTTCCAAGAACAAACATCTCGGCAAGGGCTTGAACATCAGCGCTTCCTGTTTGCTGAACGAGGTGTCTTCCACACAGCGGAGAATGCGGCACCTGTTGATGTGCCTTTCTTCCTGATGGTGAGGTGCGCATGCTGAGCACGCTGCGCCTGGAAACAGGAGGACAAGTGTCCAAGTGTCAATAGTGTATCTTGTAGCATTTACCTGATGCTAGTTGGCATTGAGAAGATGTTTGGGATTCGTAGAGCATGTCCAGATTCTATCCATTGAAAGTACCACCTGATTCGCACGTCTGGCACGAATTGCCGAAGTTGTCTGGCCTGGTCCGCTGCATGCTGTTCATCGTTATTCATGCCATTCCTTGCATCTCAGTGGGAGAATGGCCGTTTGAAAAGCGAACACGGGTTGCTCGATTTGGCTAATATTTTTCGATCAAATTGTTATTCCGTACATGTTTGTACACAAGCTTGTTGAGCAGCTTATATCATTCTTAATTCTGCATCCAGTGTTCTTGCACTCAATCTCACGATTTCAGGCCGCAACCTCCTTCCATCAAACTGCAGGCGGGACCTTGCACCTGTGTGGAACGGTCGGCCGAAGCTGAGAGAACGAAGCAAGCGAACACACATATTTACGCCTGAATACGCCTTTGAAGACGACTTGGTGTTCGAAACAAGCATGTCATATTTGGAGATAGATCATTGAGATCTGTCCCAGGATGGGTACATCAATGGTTGTTCATGGATATCATGTGAAGGAGGTCATGTTGGTGACCTTGTAGGACCTCCACATGACTGCTGATAGAAAAAATCCTGTGGTAAAATTGAATTTGCAATTAGTATTTTAGTTTGTGACCAGGTTAATGTGTTTTAGTTTTCAATGTTTGTTTTTCATTTTTTAAATGTTAACATACATAGTATACATACATACATATATACATATACACACCATATGCATGTATACACATAAAGAACCATGCTGGAATTGGTGGAATGCAATATTTAAAATAAAGTGGTTGGGTCCTTGCCTAATCGCTTCAGTTCCTGTGACTAGAGCCCCAATCGATTTGACGAAAGAGATATGCACTATACATTTGATGCAGCTGCAACACCTGGAACATGCAACATCATCCGAATCGTCAGAAAGAAAGACCTTCAACGTTAGGATCAGTGCTTTTCCCCAACATTGAAACAGATGTCAAAGGATGTCAAAGGCAAGTTACAAGTTTTGTCTGTGGATCTCCACTGATATCAATCTCAGAACCGACACTCCAACCGACCAGCATCAAGCAACCAAATGGCACTTTGAACACCATACCTTTCCTCTACACTGCGGGAGGGCTTCACGGAAGTGGGTCAGCACACTATTTTTAGTATCAAGAGATCCAGCTGAAACCTGGTAATCCGACAGTGAAACACCTCCTTCTTGGATCCTTCTTGGATCGGTCGATCTGCTCGGTTCCACATACAGGCGCCCAGCGAGATTTCCAACACCTGTGGCTTCTCAGTCGTCGCCCATGCAGGTGGGCGGTCAAATTTATCCGGGCGCGGCTCCCGGGCGCGGCTCGGTTGTCCAGTTGTGTTTGGACCCAGCGACGGCAGCGAACATGTACAGCTCCCTACGTCGATCATCGGAAACAATGGTGGTTTGGACCATCACAACTCCCACCATCCGAAGAGGGGAACCATACACGGAAGCTCGTTGATACAGATTGGACCTGACAAATTCGTTCATATTGTTTCGGTCAAAAAAAGGATTTGTGCGGGATAGTTTGCACAAATGTTTGCCATGTTTACGCACATACGTTTGCCTGGCACTTGCTAGGGAAGAAGAAAATCAAATTAGACCCAGTGGTTGGAGGGTCTCCCTCCTGTAATACATATACCTTGCGTTGTTCATCTTTTGTTGCGGTGGTGGTTTCAAAAAGGATGCACAGTTACTTGTTTGACAAAGCGGTTGATCATTTCAGTCAACCTGAGCCCTACATGCTACCCCATGAAGCAACACATCTACACAACACCAACAGCCCAGTCCGCGCTTTCTGGTTCTTTGGCCGTTTTTGGAGCAGGTGGCATCTCTGGAGATCCCTATGTCACTTGGAAATGTCCGGTCAGCCCAGTTGAGACGAAGATGACCACTCCCAGATGATCGTTGTCGCTCCATCCAGACTTGTCGATCATGAAGCACCCAGTTTGGTCGATCGTGGTCGGAAGGTAAGATAGGGTCCTAATGAATATACTACTTTCCACCCACAAGGGGTGCTGGAGAAGTTTGGAATCCTTTTGACATCGTTGCCTACAAGGCCACAAAGCTGTGCGACTGATGCGCAGCGCATCAGAAAGATGTGAGGAAAAACTTGTTGGCTCGGTGACTCCACTGAGAAAAATAACTAACTGGTTTACCTTTCCAAACATGAAAAGCAGGAGGACCCCGGGTCTATTAGTGATTGACATTCAGTTTGGGGGTCCTAAGAATAGGCCTTTTTGGATTAGATGGGCACAGGCCCCTACCCTCAGTTAGGGGTTCATGTTTATATAACTTTTATCTAAGTGATTGTCGGGTGGCCACTACTCCCCAACTGCTTGTAGTTAAATAATCTGAATGTCAATCATACCTTCAGAAGCAAGAATTTCTTGGGAGATGTTTTATTGGCCAAACAGACATGTGAGACCCCCCCCAAAAAAAGAAACAAAACTAGCAGTTGCTCGTTGTTTCGGACTCATCAATCACTGAGCTCCGAATGCAAGGTCTGTTCTTAGATGTGGCTGGGGACCTCAATGCGGGAGAGTCTTGGGGACCTTGGTTCGCCATGGCGCCATGTCCTCGCGTTTCGGGCCATGGTTCAGCGGCAGTTGTTTCATAACCCCCAATGAATTCATGACGAACGAGAGGCCTGGCAGGTCTTTTGTCGACTGCTTCTGTGTTAAAGCTGCTTCGACGTCCACCGAAGTACTTGCAAGCTCTTTCCCTGTGCGCTGCCGATGGAAACCAAGAACACTTGTGGTGGACACCTATCAGGAAAAACAAAAACAGCATGTGGCGACTCCTGCGGACGACTCCTGCGGCGAAACCCTAACGGCAGGATCCAGACATCCAAAACACACGATCAAGGCGAAACTCTCAAGGTATCCCGGCTCCCAGCCCAAGGCCTCTTGGGTTCCTTTTGTTAGATTCTACTCGAACCCTGTTTGGTTTGGCCAAGTTGCTTTGGTGTGCACTGCCAGAATAAAAGCTTCTTAGATGATTGAATTCATCCTTGTAAAGAGAGTCTCATCCTTGAAAAGGCATGTCTTGAAGATTTTTTAAGCTTTCACTGTTCGAATCTTCACCCTAAAAAGGACGAAACCAAAAGAAACCACCTGTATTCAAAGGACCTCCTACTTAAAATAAGGTCTTCTGAAGTGGTTTGTTAATGTCAGCTCCACTGTAGGGGGCTGTTCTATTTTCCCATAAGACTTTCCTGTTGTGAATAAGGCAGGGCACGCTACGTACGGGTACTGTATCACATTGTATCACATTCGTTCACGAGTTTCTTTTGAGCATTGTCAGGTCCCTGTGAACATTGCTTAGGATCCGTATTGGAAGCTCCCTCTTTGATGGAGCATAATGATCTCCTCCTTCACATGCATCGAATCATCGAACTCTTTGGCCTTTGCGGCGGGCGTCTGACTCACTCCGTTGGATCTCGTGTACTGACGGATGTCCAAAAGGGGGGGGTTTGGAACCCCGTACAGCGGTACAGCGGTACGGATCGACTTTCAAGTGCACACGGAATTGCAACCAGGCTCAATGACTCCATGGCGACGGGGCGTGTTGGGGTGACTCCGACCTGGCAAATGGATGGCCTGGCTGTTCACATTCCATTTTGCAGCAGTCCGCCCTTCTGTCGATCCAAGCACTGACTCCGTGGCAAACTGTCTTTGTGTCAGAGTCTGAAGCATTTCGACGGTGACGGCGAACCTTTGGAAAAAAAATCCTTTTCAATTCAGAGTCTTGAGGTCCTTGGCACGGACCGATTGCCTTTCATTGCTCAGTCCGATGGATTCGGTCCGGCGCAGGTCTCCGTGACCGAGCCCGTGTCCACCGAGTGCGCGGCACGGGCGATGCAAGCGCGCGGGGCGGTGTGGGGAGCCCCGAGTCGTCCCGACCGGTGCGTTGGGCGTGTTCCTGGGTCGGGACACGTGGGACCGGTGGAGTTCGGGTCAAGAGGGGACTGGGCAAGATGAAGAGGTCCAATTTGTTCGCAGTCCATTTGTTTCTGAGTAGGGTTGATGACATTCTTTACATAAAACTTGTTTAATTGTGTCATTCAGAGATCATGATGCTGCCACATGTTTGTTTATGTTTGTTTCAACTTGAAGATTTTGGATGAGAATGGCAAAACATGAAGAGATCACCCATCATTTTTGATATTTTTAGCGACTCCGTGTTTTGGTGATTGTTTGGTCTCCGTGTGTTTTGATGCCTTAGGCATATCCTGAGCAGTGGGCAGAGTCCACTTGAACAGTTCACTGTGGCCTGTGTCTTTCAGTGTGTCTTTCATTTTGGGTGAATATATTGATTTTCCAGAGGTGACTGCATTGCCAGGGGTCAAATCTATAATTAATCATTGGATTGCAGGAAAACCCTTTGTTTGAGCAAGTTTTTCTGCATAGCGTTTGCAGTGAAAACGGTTATTCTTTAGAAC